GCGAGGCGCTAGAGAGCACTATTTGTTTGAATGCAAAATACAATTTCACCGCTAGATGGGAGAAATTCCTACACAATGTACCTTTAAGGGGTGTAAGAAAACTTAAACTTAACTTTTCAAGATCTAAAGTTCGAAGACCTGAACTCAAGCTATATTCAGAGAGTCTTCACTCTCACCAAGTGAGATAAATCATTTCCCCCTGGGATTATTAAAGTATTTCTGATTCTGATTCTGATCTGAAACACCTTCACTTACAAAAAAAAAAACAAGCAAGGAGCTAATAGAACAATGGCCACGTGTCAAGAAAACATAACAACAAAACCCATGAAGTATGTATGATTGTTAAATCTAAAAAATGTATAAGTTCCTAGAAATATCAATAAAACGCATCTCTGACACAATATTCACTGGAAATAATCTGCATTGAATATAATATGAAATATAATAAATTATGTCACTTAGTCAGGGGTTGTCAATTTAGTCAATGATAAAAAAAAAGGGAGTCCCTTTAGGAAAAAGGTGCTAGTAGTTTGACAGTTAAAAAGAAAAATAACATCACTTTCAGTGTATACAAGGAATTTTGTCTTCTTTATAGTTCAAAAATATACAGCCCCCCACACACATGCATTACATGTGTGTGGAGGTCAGTGCAGGATCGCCTGCAGTGCAGCACAGTTTTAGGTTCAGTGCCTTGCTCAAGGGCACGTAGGCAGAAATGGTGGGCACCACATATGTGATACTAGCTAACTGATACCAGATGCTATAATATGTTCAATAACAAATGGACAGGTAAGTTTGATAAACCATATTTTATACTTAATATTCCTATTTTTAATGCAATTGTTAACTGCAGTAAAACCTCTGGAAGAGTTTGATCACTGCAGTTGCCTTCTTGCCACAGAGAATGCAAAGATCCTCCTAGGGCTGCAAGCTAATATTTCTTACTAAATTGTAACTTGTCAACAAGACACAGTTCAATGCAACTTCAATGCCGTGTTGATGTTATTACACAATGACAAAAAACTTTTAAAAAAAAATTGAAATTAAGCATTTGAGTGTTTTTCTTAATAAATCAGACACTGATGGTGTAGCGCTGTATTTTATCTCTTTATTCTGAAAAAAATATTGAAAACACTTGAGAAAAAAATTTATAGTTTGAGAATCACTGCTCTAGGCCATCCTGCCTCCCAGGAGTCGGTAATGCGCCCTCAAACGCTGCATGTTATGCGTTCTATGTTCTTGAAACATGTTAATTGGTGATCTTTGGAGAGGCGAGTAGGTCGATTTTATTTCCTTTGGATAGATTCAGGCTAGCTATTTTTTTTCTGTTTACAGTGTTCATGCTAAGCTAAGCTGACCAGCTGCTGGCTAATAAGAGTAAAATTTCACGTGTGAAACGAGTTGTGCACATATCCCAGTGTCCCTGTGACTGAATTGGTGTGGTGTGTTGTAGTTTTTGAGCACGTCATAAAGGTCTACAAGCTGCTTTAGATTATTTCCCAAAATGTGACGTTTCATATTGGCACCATATATCCCCTATTGGCATTCTTCTGTGAAAGAAATACAGGTGTTGGCCTTAGTATCGGCTTTCAAAAACACACATCAGTCCAAGCGCGGTGTGCAGATCATGGCTGGAGGCAGGGAAAGGAAAGTAACGTCAGCTCCAAATCTTTCATGACACTGTTATAAACTTTCCTTCCGCTGCTGAGTTTTCCTCTCCGCTCAGCTCGCAGGAGCTAATGTCATCACCTCGTCTCACCTTCTTCAGCATGCCTGCGGATGCCAAACAGCAGGAGTGTAAAACTGTCATCCCAGCTCACCATCCAAACACTTTTCATGGTGATATAAATGATCAGGCATTCATTTTCTCCATTTGCTTGGAGAAGGTAATGAAACACTCTAGACAAGATACAAAGAATTTATTCATTGTGAAAAATAGATAATCAGAAACCGCCTGGTACATTTGTCTTTGAAATCACATTGCTGTTAGTTTCATGACTATACAATACTGGTTGTTTGTTTAAACCATAATCTGTCAGCCCGAAACCCACAATGACTTCGGTGAAAACCGTTTTTCTTGTGGAGTACCAGTCACATGTTGCTACAAGTCCCTGTTCGCCCTCTCTGTCTGTCTCCCTGTGATGTTCAGATACATTCCTCTCTGACACCTGGAAGCTGAGGGCTCAGCACAGGAAGGTAAGAGCCTAAACAAACATGGAAGGTGTCCTAGTGGATCTGTGGTTTAGGCTCCACACCCTGCACACTTCAGGTGAACATGATCTTCACTATGTTTTAATGGTCCATATCATTCAGTCCTGTTCACAGAGAAAAACTTGAGATAAATGCTAACATCTGCATGCTAACAAGCACACATTAATAACGTTAACATGTTGATTTTAAGCAGGTATATACCTGGTGTATATGTTCACACCATGTTCACAATGATACGTAACATGAGTTATACCAGGCTAGTATTTCTGGAGCAACGGGCTTTCAGAGTGGCGCACCATTATCTGTATTCGTATCCGTACTTGAAATGGGCGGGGCTTAAATCAGACGTAGATGGTGCTTAAACTGTAAGTAGTCAGGACGAACCTGAAGTTGTTAATCTCAGCCTGAAATTGATTGATTGTTGAACAACTTTATCAAGCGGATGTTTCAAGACCAGGTAACAAGACAAAGAATCCATGTTCAAAGAAGCACACTGGTCCTTCAAATTACCAAAACATCTGCAAGATTGCAAATAGGCCTTTTCCACAAACAGGGAACTGCCTCCATTCCGTTTCAAGCACCTAGTTTTGAATCATTCAGGGCATTTTGACTAAAAAGAAACTATTGCGGAACCTGGAAAGTTGGTTGCCAGCTGGAACCAAAAAACATTTCCTTGGTAACCAAAGTGGGCATGTCACATTCTCAAGGTCACTGTGCATTGTACAGCGCCCCCTTTTACTGACAATTACAGATTACAATGGTTCCACTCAAAACTGGTGGAAACGTGGGCTGGCTCGCTATGTAGCACCAAGTTCCAAGAATTTTGAACAGAACCGGTTCAAGAACCAGAGATAATTTGGTGGAAATACGGACAAAGGAGAAATATTCTAAATATCTGAAATCCTAGTATTTGGGTCTGTAACATTGTTTCAAAGTGTCTGTTTTTCTTCCCCGTCACGCCCTGTTTTTGTTGACTAACCTGTGGGTTTGGTTGGTTGAGAGAGTGGAGAGCATTTTGTTTGTCACACACACACACACACATCTCTCCTCCCCTTTCCAACTGTGTGCCACATGAAAGCAGTGTACACCCATCTCTCTCTGTGTCAGCGGTGTGTTATTAGTATCCAGAGACTCCAGAGTGTCTGCTGCACTGTCACCTCCCACAGCCTTCTTTACACGCACTTTGTGTGTGTATAATATATAGATGGGTGCAACCTGTATCTGTTGTTTGACTCACTCACACCAGGAAAGCACCGTCAGCACACTTTCAATGCCTTTGTGTGTGTATGTGTGTGTGTACTGCATTGACACATAAAATACACACAAAAAATAACACTAGTAACTGAAATATAGACATTTTATTTTCTACTCATTTCCTGACAATAAAAATGCTCCTAAGGCATAAACGTGTGCCACTTTTGATCTATAACCGACACTATAAATAAAAGACCTGAGTACAGCATGTGTTAATAGAATATATACAACTTATTTTTCAAATGCGTTAGCACCAACTCGCTATCACTTTTGCTGTTGATAGTTTTCTTAAGAGGTCGGGGCCATGAAGTGTGCATGAGCAGGAATTAAAGGGCCACTTCGACAATCTTACCCACAAGGCTCAATTTACTCATCTTGAAGAGCATTGCTCAGCCCGTAAAACCAGTTGAATGATCTGTGGCTCTGGAG